GCCAGAAGAGGCCGCAGTACAAGGGACTTAGTCCCACCCCACTAGCAATATAAAAAAGATAGTCAGTTACGTTTTGTACTTCTTTACCAATATGTCGGCTCTGAGTTCCGCACGTTAGCATGTAATTTGAATCTGTGGTCTAGTGGTCAGAGTTCACTGCGACGGATCCAGAGGTCCGGGTTCGATTCCCAGCGCTACCAGATGTTCTGAGAAGTAGTGGGTCTGACACGGGGTCTACTCAGCCTGGTGAGGATAATTGAGGAGATATTTCAAGGAAATAGCGGCTTCGGTCTAGAAAACCGAAATTAACGGCCGTGGGGATTCGTTGCGTTGACCACGCGACACCAGTATCGACACTGTGCACCGCCGATGATAGGGTGATTAGTGATTGTGGAGTGGCTGCTGGAATGAGAACAGCTGGCGAATTTGATTTTTGACTGTAAATGGCCAGTACTCACTCACTGACTCACTCATGGAAACCAGCCCTTCTTGAGAAGCTGCCAATTGTGCAGGTACTCAAAAACTTCCCACCATTTATGGAATCCGAAGGTTCTTTACCGTGTTCATAAGAGCCTTCCACTGGTCCCTATCCTGAGCCAGATAAATCCAATCCATACCATCCCATCCTATCTCTCTAAGATCCATTTTAATATTGTAAGATTTGAGATTTTCACGGCGGTGACTATGAAGCAAGCAGTCTTCTGGGATGTGGGGCCGTGTAGATATTGTGTTAACCGACGTTTCGCAGGAACGTATCGCCTCCGTATTCTATACCTGCTGGCCCACCTCCCCAGACCCTTCCCCTCTCCTCTCTACTGATTTCGCATGTAGTTCCCTTTTCCCTTCCCTTCCTGCTCTTATACAGCTGGGTTTATTCTCGGGCATTAGTCTATTTGCACCTACTCACGCTGGTTCCTCGCTCGCGGATTTTCTTTTTTCTTCTACTCTGAAGATGGAGGCGATACGCTCCTCCGAAACATCGGTTAACACAATATCTACACGGCCCCACATCCCAGAAGACTGCTTGCTTCATTTTAATATTGTCCAACCACCTACGTCTTGGTCTTCCCAGTGGTTTCTTTCCTTCTGGCTTTCCCACCTATATCCTATAAGCATTCCTCTTCTCCCCATTCGTGTTACATTCCGTACCCATCTCACCCTCCTTGATCATTCTAATTATGCTTGGAGAAGTGTACAAACTATAAAACTCCTCATTATGCACTTTTCTCCAACCTCCTGTCACTTCATATACACACAAGACCCGTACTTCAGATGAGGCTCTAACAGAGTTATCACGCAAAAGAATTGTCAGCTTGTACAAAAGAAACTGTAGATCTAATTAAAATTAAATAATTTTGCTCGAAACAGTGTTCGACACTGTATACTATACGTATATTTTCTGGACTACGAAGAAAAAATACCCATTACGACTATGCATTAATATAAGATTTACTTTCCAGCATCATTTGCAATAAGTAAACGCCAAAGCCAGTAAGGTTTACAAACTCGCAATGAATGCTTTGGGAAAGTGTATATGTACGTAGCTACAGTTGCAGTTGGAGTATACTTTCCCACTCTTGTTTTGATGCCTGTAGTCAAGGTTCCAATACATTCAGTAGGATGATATCGTAACTGAATGAAATGTATCAAAAAAAAATACTTGCTCCATATTAATGAAAATTTCATACAGTACAAAAAGAACGAAGCAATTGTTCGGTATTAAATCAGAACACACTTATATGTGCTTCCTTATGCAATAACATTACACATATAGTAACGCTTAGTAATAGCAGCCTGTGCCAGAACACATATGAAGGTGAGAAACCGTCTGCACTACTTCACTGTTTGGTCATTCACCTCTTGAAGCGCAACTCGTCAGATCCTACAGTACGGGTTGCCTGCTGGTCATTCACCTTCCACTTGTACACACGCAGTTTATAACACTGCCTCCTCCTCCTCCTTGGAGCGAGGATTTCTATTACAGCCCTCTCAAGTTTTATAAACTCTTCCTATAATGTATTTCTTTAGTAAACACAGGAAGATATTCTATCGTTTAATTCACCTTTAAATGACAACCGCGATATAAAGCATTGCGTTTCGTGTAGTGGTATTATCTTTGTAAGCTTGCGTCTTTTGTACAAATTGATTTGGGGGGGGGCGTATTCTCGATTTAAAATTTTTTCACCCTAACACTTTTAGAGAAGACGCGCGAGCCTCACTTTTCTGTTAAGAAAATGGTCGTTGCACTCAATTATGATTTTTAGGGTACAGAAACATTTATTTGTGTTATATTTTTAACTAGGGCAATCTCTCATGTTATGAGGAATGTTAGAGTATTTTTTTTTCGGATAGAAATTATATAGTGTCTCGTTTTCAGTGGCCTAAACATCGCTACATTTTATTCTCACCGGGTTCTAACCGTATACATATTCCCTGTAAAACTATATCAGGCGACTTGGTTACCTCTGAATATGCGAATCGGCACAGTGATGTCTGATACAGACAGACAGCCTATACACGGTAAAATTCAGGAGTGTGGACTTCAGTCATTGTTTCCGTTGTCTTGAGCTCGGCCCACATCGGATGATATTTCCACCGCAGTGAAAGTTGTGGACACTTTCTCGCCGACATGGTGGCGGTTCTCTCCTTGCAACTCGTATTTTTGTTATATTATTATATTACTTTCGCTGATTACAGCTTTCTTTCGCCAGGACTGTCACTTTCAATCGTAATATTACCTGCTGGAAATGATTAAGTCTTACAGTACATATCATCTCTAATATACACGTAACAGCAAAGAAGAAACAGGTTTCACTACTGCCAATACATATTGTCTGGTCATTACTCTCTTATTGCTATTATGTGAACAACCGAAGTGATTGTAGGCATTACTTATTGTGATATAAGCAGATCCACGCGTATAATCATGGCAACAATAACGACTTTACAAAAGAAATTTCCAAAACCATATCAGCTTTCATATCCCAACCCTGGAAGACGGTAGTTCTATGAAAATTTATATGTGATGCCAAGGAACAAATTAAAGGAAAATTTATTAAAAGTTCTGACAGAATAATTACACAGTAATTAGACATATCTTCCTGATTTTTAATTCATTTGATTCATAAGTCCGCAAATTTCCTGATATTATCGATTTGGCCTCATGCCATTATTCAGTGCTTGCACTATGACTGATGTTCACATCAGATTCAGTGTCATCAATGCTGATTCTTTTTCGGTTCTCTCGGATACGCTGATCCATCTGCTTAACCTCAACACATGTTACAGCCGATGGCAACCCAGAAAGGTGCTCATCTGCAACACTCGTCCGTCGTTCTTTGAATTGTTCCGCCAATTCGAAAATGTTACTCTGGCCCAAGCGGTTACTGAACTTCCATCCTTCCATAAATTTCGCTAGTTTTCCTACTTTCCGACCGGAAAAATCGGGTCATAGTTCCTTGCTGCATTCGATCGATTAAGCAACTGTGTTAAAACTCTTCACCGTATTATCACTGGGTGTACTAAAAAGACAATGAAAAGCAACATTCAATATGTGGAAATAAGGGAAGGTTCACATAATTTAGTCTGCATACACCACATTTTGCACTGCTTTGAACATCACCTTTCAGGGAAGCTAAAATGACATTTCTTTCCTTAAGATTTTCAGAGAGAAGTATTTCTGATTCCTCCAATGCTTTCTACATGCCTTGTCCATCTCATCCTTCTTGATTTTACCACCCTAATTACAATGGATGTCATATTCTCATATACCTTGAATCGTGAGTGTGAAGGACCAGGTTTCACACTCGTGTGCAACACATAGTATTACTCAGATAAGAGGATAAGCCTACACGTAGATTCGACTTCCGTACTCTGTAGTCAGCCAAGTGCTGGGTCAGAGTTGAAGCCCCGGAGTTAAAGTTCGAGGAAGTGCTAATGTGCTGCCCAAAGCTACAGCACACCTTGGGCAGCAGGAAGTCATATATATGAGTGCAGTGGTGAAATGATGATTAGCAGGGGGAATACAGAAGAAAACTCGGAACAAAATATGCCCCACAGTCAATTTGTCTACCACAAATCTTGCAAGAAGTCACAAGGGATTGAACTCGAGGCTTCGCTGTGAGAAGCCATCGTCAACCACCAGAGCTAATGCATGGCCCCTAAGGAAATACATAGTACAATTCTTCACAGATTTTCTTTCTCTAGTCGCTTTTGAGATCTCAACCAGATATGACACACATTTTTAGTAGAAAAAGACGAACTTCGTGCATCAGTAACCAAGCAAGTGCCGGATCAGAGACGAAACCCCACATCTGGAGGGCGGGGCTTGGTCGTAGTAGGGAATAATGTTACTCTGACTATTGACTGGATTGGGACCCTAATATAATATACAGCACGGGATTCGCTATCGGGATCCCGTCGTAACTAAGTCTTCAGAAGCTACAGACCCGTAAGAGAATATTTGTTTTTCTTATATCCACTTCGCGGGGTCCGCTCAGCCTCGTGAGGATAACTGAGGAGCTATTTCAGAGAAATAGCGGCTCCGGTCTAGAAAACCGAGATTGATGGCCGTGGGGATCCATTGCGCTGACCACGTGAGACTCTCTATCCGCAAAAGTTGGCACTAACTTCGCCGAGAAGCGGCGGTTGCTCGGTCGGCATAGTTCGCTTGCGGACTACAGGCCACGGAGTTTGTTTTGTATACCCACTTCCGTACTGTGGCAGTGTTCCCGGTATATCGTCACGAGAAGTGCGCACTGCATCTTGTGGCCTGCATTCATTCATTCGTTTTTTAAAAGAGTGGTAAAAGAAACGTATTCCGCAACGCTTCAGCATTTAAATCTCTCATCAACAGAAATATAAGTTACACGCCACATGGATGTACAAGTATTGCATCCGAACCTCAGCATGGAAAGGGTTCATTAATGGTTGAGATCTCAGAAATCGATACTTGTCATTGTTGTGTTCCAAGCAATATAATAATGTGGCTTGTGTTCCAGAGCCTGTCCGAAACCCTCGGCCACAACGAGACACACGCAACGTGTTGACCCGCATGGAGAACGCCACGGGTCCTCTTTCCTTACTCTGGGATTGCATGGAGCGACGCGTCAGAATCAAGGTGTGTGTGTACTTATATCGGTGCCGAGAGTGGCGCATGCGTTTTGCGAGGTTTGAAACTCTCAATAGGACCGACTGAGCCTAGAAAACGGATAAAGGGAGCTTGGTATTACTGGGTAGCGCCAAGCTTAGGACACGGAAGGAAGTCCTGTGAACGGTGTCCATGACGGCGTCCGAAGCTTCCCCATTTCTGCCTACTGTTGTACAATATTATCCTACAGCCTAAGTCAACCGGCTCAGAGCACTTGTTGCTTGTGAAGGTTATCACGTTTCTATCACTACCAACGTTCTTGTGGACAGAATGTGGGATAAAGCATAGCAGCTCGAGGAAGTTGTGGAAGGAGTGGATATGTGGGACTTCTTTCCGAGGCCTCGGTATATTTGACGGTCCCCTGACCACGTTCCGGCATGTTCATGTTGTTTAATTACGCCTCCACTTTGATTTTCTCGCCACCTCACGTTTGTCAGGTTGCAATTCCTAACGCACTCACCAGGCTAAATCCAAATCACGTAACACCTTCCTGATGTAACATATCATAAAGATTTCTGACCTGTTACATAGTCATATATGTAGATAGCCCAGTTTCCCCTCCCGTGATTTTCAGTAAAAGGTAAAGTTGTTACTTTGCTTAACTAATTAAGCACTACGCCATGAAGGCGTGTGGATGCATAGATCCATATTTTGTTGACCTCGGCACTAGTTGGAGGTGAGTGATCAGCTTCACGTCCCGGCCACGTTACCGCCCCCTCGGGAAATAGCCCCCGGTACCCACTGGATAGGCCGGCTCCTCACGTCCAGTCCATTGCCAGTCGCTATACCGACTGCGCTATCCCGGCTCCTCACGTCCAGTCCATTGCCAGTCGCTATACTGACTGCGCTATCCCCGCTCCTCACGTCCAGTCCATTGCCAGTCGCTATACCGACTGCGCTATCCCGGCTCCCACGTCCAGCCAGTAGCCAGTCGCTATACTGACTGCGCTATCCCCGCTCCTCACGTCCAGTCCATTGCCAGTCGCTATACCGACTGCGCTATCCCGGCTCCCACGTCCAGTCCATTGCCAGTCGCTATACCGACTGCGCTATCCCGAGTTCGTCATTTTCAGTAGGAAGGATAATAAAACGATACACGGCAGCCACACGTGTGTTTGAAGGTTTCACCCTTGACGAAGGTGAGTTCTCGGTTTAATACTAATCTCTCAATCCATATCCCCACTGTGGAATACTGTACTTACATACTTCAAGAGAACGAATTTATGAAACCCAGTCTTCTTCGTGTACTTCAGTCTGTATGGCAATTGTGCAATTTAATGATCCATTTTGTGTATGCTTCATAATTGTAACTATTACAGATTTAGACTGCATTCAATTTGTTAAGTATAACCTTACATATTAGCATCATCACTATGCCTGTAATTGTTATCATATGAAAAGATGTTTCGCGCCGATTATATATATATATATATATAAATTTGTATTTCTCCACTGGTTCAGTAGTTATTGATATTCAACTGAAAGTCAAATATAGATTTCACAATGATGCCATGTTGTTTTGGATTCCACAAAAATTGTATATTCTTTAGAGATCTATTATCTCTCAGAATATCAGAATCACATGAGGTACACAGGCAGAATTACCTCTCAGTGCATGGTATTCATACTAAATTTTGTTACTGTCCGTCAGTTAAAATGTGTTGGGGAAGACATAGAAATATGGTAATCGTTATCAAACGAAGAAAGTGTAAAGAGAAGATGAAAGTTGCTTTATTAAATATGGCATTCACATAAATTATATTGAATTGGGAAGAACTGTTTTACTTCAGTGAAGGAAGTGAGTTCGTACGATGTAAATAATATTGTGATATGTCAACGCATTGCCAGGCAACGGCTCGATAAACACCCCGCAGTACGGGCACGCAACAATGGAAGAACGAGGTTATGCAACCCACTTCTAGGCAACGGCTTGGTAAACACGCTTCCTCGCAGGCGCAATGACGTCACATCCCAACACTGTTTAGCTATCACGTGACCAGTGTTTTCTGTGTGATCTGAGCTACGCAACAGTAGAACTGTGTTTTCTGCGTTGTCCGTGCCGCGGCTATATAACACGAGTCCGCTTGCAGCTAAGGCGACGTAAAGGGAAGAGTCAAACCTGAGACAGTAAAATGTGGTTGCGAGTCTAAAGGGACTCCAACCCGAGAAAGACTGCGCTGACAAGGGCCAGCAACATATACAAAAAGACAGACCCGTCCTCTCTTCAAGAGGGCGCCCCACAAAAAGAAGACCGTAACTGTCAAAGGGTAATAAATATCTGGACACCAAGACTTACTGACTGACTGGCTACCCGTCAGTCGCAATGTGACTTTGACTAAGGAGTGTCCAAGTTAAGTTTAGTTAAGTTCTATAAGTGTTTCCTCCTTCTTTCGTCTTCTTCTTGAAGTCACCGTTTCCACATCCTTCTCACCTACCTCTTCTTCTTTCTTGTACTAAATTTTTTTTTATCTCAGGGTTCGTTGTTTAAATTTTTCAGGGTTGGTTGGTTTCTAAAGGGGTGAGGTTTTTTGGTTCAGTAGAGCGGGATCCTCTTATCTCAGAGCCTTATACGGGCCACACTCGAAGAAGCAGGAAAAAAAAACAGACTACCAAACACATTCACATTCAGAGGTATTGTTATTCAAAACTTTTTAGTCACCGTTTAACACTTTACAATTTGAATACTTGTCGAGACACTTTTGTAAGTAAACCACTTTTCAGGTTTAAACTTATTATTATCAAATCTTGTTTCGGTCTAAGTGGTTAACGCTTTACAAATTACTTCGACAACTTTTGCGTCTACCTTCTACGGAGCCCGGTGTGTGACTCACTTCGACAACTTTTGCGTCTACCTTCTACGGAGCCCGGTGTGTGACTCACTTCGACAACTTTTGCGTCTACCTTCTACGGAGCCCGATGTGTGACTGATTTCGACAACTTTACGTCTAACTTCTACGGAGCCCGGTGTGTGACTCACTTCGACAACTGATTTCTACTCGGACCTTCAAGTCCTTGTTTCCTTAGCGTCTCTGCCCTGTCACACCCTTAAATTTTAGTGATTGGTAATATTTGAAAAATAGGAGTATCTTAATTAGATATTCCTCCACTCCGTTTAAAGCTTACAAGGGTTTAAGGATTTCTGACTCCAGCGTATTTCTGCCAGAAATTGACAAATGCTTAAGCGTCGCTTGGATCATAAACCCTTCACTCTTTTTAAGTTATGGCATGCACAGACGGCCAATTATTGAATTCACAAAGAATTCTTTAGCTATTCTTTAACGTAACTTTCCTCTAATAAACCTTTGACGGGTGTCTTCCTGTTTCTGTTGTAAGCGTGGGAAGAGGCTAACTCTTACATACAAGAATTGACCTATGTCTCACTACACTTGTTCATTGCATTTCATTTTGAACCATTAAGATTTCAAATTAATAAAGTTGATTACATTCAAATAAGTTGCGTAGCAGTGGGACGGTTACAGTTCCGAGGTTCCATGGCAAGAAGACTTCATAGTGATTTCAAGTGCTAGTTTCTGTGTTGAGATCCGTTGCCAGGAGACGACTAGTGAAGAAGGACAATCCTAGTGCGTGTGCAGCAGTGAACTCTAAATTGCATAAAGCAGCAATACTGCTGTATTAATTGTAATAAGAGGGACTATAACCGAACTAGAACCCGTTTATCGTCACGCGTGTCCCCCTACGAGTGACAACATGAACGCGTGCGTGAATTTGGCATTCTTTTTCTTTTATAAACTGCACTTTGTTGCCATCACACGTTAATCGGGCCATTCATGACATCCCGTAATGCAGCCAAGCACGATTGATGCAGGAAAGTACAGCTCTAACGCTGGAATCTGGACAACACGTTTTCAGTTGAATTTGAAAATCTCCCAGGGGTGACTGTGAAGAGCACAGTTTTCTGGGATGTAACACCGTGTAGTCCGGTAAAAGTCCACTGACTTTTCGGAGGAACATACTGCCTCCAACTTTACCGTCAAAGAGTAAGCCAAGAAGAAAGTGGCAAAGAAAGGAAGATGGAAATAGTATATTCCTCGAAACGTCGATGGATTTGTACCGGATTACACGGACCTTACACCCCGGAAAATACTTTACATTTTCAGCCTACACATTTCAGTAACTTTCGTCTTACATTTAGAAACAAATATTCTCAGTAACTGTCCAGTGGAATTCATTTGGTGTAGGCTATATGAAACACAGTCAAGCAAATGAACTCACGCCTTAATTCACACGTCAGCTTAGTAATCACTTTTACCTTTATAACACACATCAGCATTCAACAACGCCTGTAGAATTGAAAGCTATTAGTCAGGCGAGGCCATGTTGGTTGTGGACCTTCATTTTTGCATAAGGCCACATGCACAACCTTGTACCTTTTATTATCGATCCTTCAGTATTCTTGCAATTATAAAGCCACATGTTCTTAATGTCATGATATTGGTCCTTCTGTTTAATATTTGGGAGGTCCTCGCTCCAGTGTCGGTCTGGGTTTGACTGTCCCAATTGAGGTATTTTTTTCTTTTTAGTTTATCGGTTCGTCCATGCATTATTATATGCCACGGTGGCTTCCAGTCATATACCTTTTTTTTCTATACATAACCAAGAGCTGACACACGTTTTCCTAAAGGTCGACACGCAACATCCATCTGCTTTACATTAACCGTTAATGTTTATTTGACACTACTACACGGTGTTCAGCATACACCCACTTCGAACCCTGCCTGGGACACTGAAGCTTCCCTTGGTTTCCTTCTTAGGAATTTCCAGTGTACTACTAACTACCGAAACTATGGCGCAGGGTCCCGCTTCTGAAAGATCCCGCTCAAAGATTCGTTATCGTGTTCGCAAGATCCGGCCACTGGACCCTATCCACAACCATTTCAAAATTCTCCTTCAGTTTATGTCTCCGCGTCCCAAGCGGGCCGTTTTACTTGAAGTTTCCTGATTAAAATTTT